TATTTTTTCTGACTTAGACTGTCAACTCTATGGGGCAATTAGACAGTTCCCGGTCCACAAACATGCTCAACAAACATATTTTCTTTTTTTTTTCTGAGTTGGAGTCTCCCTCCGTCACCCAGACTGGAGTACAGTGGCCGCTCCCAGCCACTGCAGCCTCGACCTGCTGGGCTCCCGCGATCCTTCCACCTCAGCCTTCCAAGTAGCTGGAACTACAGGCGTGCGCTACCACACCCAGCTAACTTTTTATTTATTGTAGAGATGAGGTCTCGCCAAGTTGCCCAGGCAGGTCTCGAACCTGTGGGCTCAGGCAATCCACTCACCTCAGCCTCCCAAAGCGCTGGGATTACAGGCTGAGCCACCGAGCTCGGCTGGAATTTATTTATAAAAAGTTATGAGTTTATTCTCACATTTGAACTTTAGTCACCTCCAAAGTCCTCTCCGTGTGATGCAAGACAGCCATCGAGACGCGTTTTCAACCCTGCTCACAACAGTTTTTGAACTCATCCATGTTGGTGTCATTTAGGACTTCTGCTGTTTTTTGTTTCGGAGGACATTTTCCACCCAGGGAAACCGTGGTGGTTCACGCCTGTCATCCCAACACTTTGGGAGGCGAGGCAAAAGGATTGCCTGATGAGCTCAGGGGTTCAAGACCAGCCTGGGCAACCTGGCGAGACCTCATTTTATACAAAAGTTAAAAAAAAATTAGCCAGGTGTGATGGCGTGTGCCTGTCGTTCCAGCTCCTCGGGAGGCTGAGGTGGAAGGATCGCCGGAGCCCAGGAGGTTGAGGCTGTGGTGAGCTGTGATCGTGCCACTGCGCTCCAGCTTAGGCAACAGAGCGAGACTCTGATTCAGAAAAAGAAAGAAAGAAGGAAGGAAGGAAGGAAAAGAAAGAAAGACAGACAGACGTAGAAAGAAAGAAAATGTCATTCAGGGCGAGAGTAGGTGAGTAGGGAAGGTGGGGCACAGGGGCCATTTTTGGTTAAAAACTGCTGAGCACTCCGCATGCAGCGTGGACGGGCGCTCATAAAAACTTCATCATGAAATGGGCAAACACATTGAAAGAATCTCCAAAAAAAATCCACTGAAGCCGAGTGTGGCTTTTCCCAACAAAGCTCTCTGGTCCATGGATGCCGATGGGTTCCTAGGACACTCATCTGGGGGAAGGCTTGGGCTTCAAGGGGCCTGCCCTCCAGAGGATGATTCTGGGGTCCGTTGGGGTCACCCCCTCGTGGAGTGACATTTGAGAAACGAGAGATGTTCTTAATAGCTGCCACAAAGGTGGCTCTTCCCGCGGGTTCGAGACCCGCCTGGGCAACTTGGCAAGACCTCATCTCTACAATAAATCAAAAAATTAGCCTGGCATGGTGGTGCCACTGCACTCCAGCCTGGATGACAGAGTGAGTCTTCGACTCAAAAACAAAAACAAAAACAAAAAGCAAAGGTGGCTCTTTGAGCCCACAGAGACACCCAAGCAAAACTGCAGTTTGCTACCACCGTTAGCTCTGTGGCAGCTCAGCCCGGTGTATGAGTCATGGAGGGTGCCATCGGAGGCCCTGGGGGGGTCAGCAAGGAGGGGCCGGCCAGGCGGGGCTGCCCGCGGTGTTGGTCCCTGGGGGGGGAGTGCCCCAGGCTGAGGAAGGAGCCACGCCGGGCTTGGAGCTCAGTGGCGGCCTTCGTGAACTTTCTCTGGGGCGTCTGGGGTCCAAGGTCAAGTCACGGATGAGGGGCGGCCGGCGAGCCTCGTGCTCTCTCGTGTTCTCCCGCCCTCCGACCGCAGGAAACCGTGCCCTTCGGCGACGCGGTGCTGGCGACACACGACACGTGCATCGGGAGTGAGATCTGCGAGGAGCTCTGGACGCCCCACAGGTCAGCCCACGCCCCGGGCCGTCGGGTCCTGTCCTCACCCGGCTGGCCAGGAGGACCTGCGACTGCAGGTGACTGGGGCTGTGGCCGTGGGGACGCCGGGGGAGGAGCACAAGGGCCGCCCGGAGCGTGGCTGGAGGGCTCCAGCCGTCTCCCCTCTTGGCCCGCCTCTGCCGCAGCCCGCACGTGGACATGGGCCTGGACGGCGTGGAGATCGTCACCAATGCCTCAGGCAGCCACCACGTGCTGCGCAAAGCCCACGCCCGGGTGGATCTGGTGACGATGGCCACCACCAAGGTGGGTGCCGGGCCGGGCTACCTGGGGTGTGCCGTGGGGTGGGCTCTTTTTCACAGGCCGTTGGAGGCCCCCTGTGCCTGGCTCAGGGCTGGGCCCGCCATGGACATTCAGCACGGGAACCACGGCCTGTGTTTGACGGGCGTGCCCTGCATGCTCCTGGGCCTCACAACACGGCCACCCTGGGGGCTGCCACCATCACCCTCTCTGCCGTGCCCTGGAGCTGGGACGCGCCCCTGGTCTGCGGGCACTCCTGTTCTGGGGCGGTGAGACGTGGGAGACATGACACTGCTCCGTCGTCCATGGGGTTTGAATCACTGCTTCATCCTCCTGGTGTCAGCTACCCTGAACCCCATCGTGTCCCGGGGAGACGACAGGTCACCTCGTAGGGTTTCCTGGCGAAAGCACGTGCCACGTGATGCCCGGGACTAAGACGGCCAGGCGCCTCGTGGCTGCATGGCTGTGTCTGTCCCAGCAGGCGCGTGTTCCTCTGTCAGGGTGGGGACCCGGTAGTGTCTGGGAGCGGGGGAGGGGAGGAGGGCTGATGCCTGCAGGCTGGTGTCCTGTGTCTGCGCCAGTGGCAGGGGGCGGGGGGCGGGCCACGACTGACCACCCGTCGCGGGTGCTGCCCTTTCCAGAACGGTGGGATCTACTTGCTGGCCAACCAGAAGGGCTGCGACGGGGATCGCCTCTACTACGACGGCTGTGCCATGATCGCCATGAACGGCAGCGTCTACGCCCAGGGGTCGCAGTTTTCCCTGGACGACGTGGTAAGGAGCGCGGGTGGCCGTGGGAGCCGTGTGTCCCCCTCGCCCTGGCTGCCCTCTTCACCTCCCCATGAGCGAGTGTTTCAAGAAACCCTGGCAGGGGGTCTTGCCTGCTGTGTGGGGTCCCCTGGGAGCCAGGGGCGGGGACAGTCCTCGCCCTAGGCTCTGGGGTCAGCCAGAGCCGCAGACACACGCCAGACAGATGAGCATGGCGGCCTCTGATGTGACATAGGCACACAGTCCAGAATGAGGACTCGGGCCTCGCAGGGCCCAGGAACAGAGGGGGTGGCCCGGGGCTGTGGGAGTCACAGGGGGCGGGGTCACCCTGAGGGCTGGCAGGGAACCCCAGGGCCCACCCCTCCCATGAGCCCACGCTGTGCCTGGTCTGCATGGCGGGGCTTGGACGGGGTCCCCGTGTCTGGCTGGGTCCTTATCCTGGGAGCAGAGTGGGCAGCGGAACTGGCGTTGACGCCATTGGAGGCCCTCTCGGCCTTCTCCTGGGTCGAGGCTGTGTATGTTAAATCAAGGCTGTGCACTGTGCAAGTCCTGGGAGGCAGGTGGGTTCGTGCTCTGAGCGGGAAGCCTTGGCCTGGGAGGCTCTCCAGCCCACAATGGCCGGCCGGGTGGGGGACGGCCCGGGCGCTGTGAGCGGGTTTGTTTGTTTACTTATTTATTTATTCATATTTTTGAGTTGGAGTCTCCCTCTGTTGCCCAGGCTGGAGTGCAGGGGCAGGCTCCCGGCCACCGCAGCCTCAACCTGCTGGGCTCCGGCGATCCTTCCGCCTCAGCCTTCCAAGTAGCTGGAACTACAGGCATGCTACCATGCCCCGCTAATTTTTTGATTTACTGTAGAGATGAGGTCTCGCCAAGTTACCCAGGTGAGTCTCGAACCTGCAGGCTCAAGCAATTCACTCACTTCGGCCTCCCAAAGCACGGGATTATAGGCTGAGCCACCGAGCCCATCTTGTAGTAAAGTTTAAAGTCTGGAAGTGGCCGGGCTCGGCAGCTCAGCCTGTAATTCCGCGCTTTGGGAGGCTGAGGTCAGTGGATTGCCTGAGCCTGCGGGTTCGAGACCCGCCTGGGCAACTTGGCGAGACCTCGTCTCTACAATAAATCAAAAAATTAACCGGGCATGGTAGCGGGCGCCTGTAGTTCCAGCTACTATGAAGGCTGAGGCAGAAGGATCGCCGGAGCCCAGCAGGTCGAGACTGCGGTGGCCAGGAGCGTGCCACTGGCCTCCAGCTCGGGCGACAGAGTGAGACTCCAACTCAAAAAATAAAGAAACAAATATATAAATAAACAAATAAAGTCTGGAAGGGTGCTCAGCCTCACTAATCATCAGAGGAATGCAAATCAAAACCACAATGAGATATCACCTAACTCCTATAAGGATGGCCATCACTGATAAATCTAAAACAATAAATGCTGACATGGTTGTGAAAAAAAGACAATGCTTCTACACTGTTGGTAGCAGTGCAAGCTAGTTAAACTCTATGGAAAGCAGTGTGGCAATTCCTAAAAGAACTAAAAATTGACCTTCCATATGATCTAGCAATCCTGCTCTTGAGAATACACCTGGAGGAACAAAAAATCATTCTACCAAAAAGACACCTGCTCATGCATGTTCATAGCTGCACTAGTCACAATAGCAAAAACATGGAACCAACCTCACTGCCCATTGAAAGTGAAGTGGATAAAGAAAATGTAGTATACAAACACGGTGGAGTATTATGCAGCCATAAAGAAGAACAAAATCATGGCCTTCACAGCAAATTGGATGGACTTGCAGACCATCATACTTAGTGATCTATTATAGAAACAAAGAACTGAATACCACATGTTCTCACTCATAAGTGGAATCTGAACAGTAGTCACATTAGCAAAAGTGAGAAATCAGCAGTCACTGGACACTGTAAGGGGAGGGAGAGAGGAGAGGCAAACAAGCAAAAACACAAAGGGTACCTGGCGCCAAACCCGGGGAAGTGAGGAACAGTTGGAGGCTCAAACTTCAACTGCATAAAGCCTACTTGTGTAGTTAATCCTGACTTGCTCCCCACATCTCTATAATAAAATAAAACAAAAAAGCAAATACAATAAATTGTTATAATGTTGATTAGTGTCACAGCTGGTTGCTAGGTACATGATTTGTTTTTTGTTTTTTTTGTTTGAGTTGGAGTCTCACTCTTTCGCCCAGGCTGGAGTGCAGTGGCATACTCTCGGTCACCGCAGCGTTGACCTGCTGGGTTCCAGCAATCCTTCCGCCTCAGCCTCCCAAGTAGCTGGAACTACAGGCGTGCACTACCATACCTGGCTTATTTTTTGATTTGTTGTAGAGATGAGGTCTCGCTAAATTGCCCGGGCTGGTCTCGAACGTCTGAGCTCAGGCAATCCTCTCACCTCGGCCTCCCAAAGTGCTGCGATTACAGGCTTGAGCCACCATGCCCGGCCAAGATAACAATTTTTAATAGGCCCTTGTATTAGAATGTAAATATGTTGGAGGAAATTTTGAAACAAGAGCATTATATTGTTAACAGGGCCATCTCTGGAAATGGCATAAAGATTCACATTGGTGACCAAAGGTGACTTTCATTAATTCCTTCTACAAACATTTGGTGATCTCTTACTATATGCCAGACATGTTCTTTTTTTTTATAATCGATATTTTTTATTATGATATTGTTGGGTACAGTTAAGGGTTAGGTATACAAATATGCTTCG